CCCACCATGGTCGTGCACCAAACGTCGTGGAGCCTTTCGCTCCAGAGGTCACATGGGCCCGCCCTCAAGCTGCTCCAGGTGCGAGATATGTTGGGCAGGACGCCAAGTACACGATCACCGCCTGGCTTCTTGGGAGCCATGGGCGCTATGGTGAGGTGCACCTGCGGAGGCCAAAGGGCCTGCGTCCCGATGAGGTTGGGCAGTCGAACGTACTGATCCAGGGCCTCCTCAGGTAATCGAAGAAGATCTCTGGGGCCCATCATGCCCGCGCCCATCGCTTTGTCGGGCGGCATGCTGCGCAAGACCCGAATGAGGTGCTGGAGCTCGATGGGGACCAGGTCCTCCTCCACGGCCCTCTCTCGTGCTCGTCGTAGTGCTTGTAGTGCGTCGTGGATGGTCTCCTGGGTGTACCAGACTGCCTTCCAGTAGTCTGTCTTGTGCTGCATGACCTCGGTGGGGTCGGAAACGGTGGTGCGTGCGGCCCGAGTCGATGACCTCGAGCTTGTCAGCTAGCTGCGGCTTGACTTGTCTGTGTAGTAGTCCAGGCTTGGCGCGCCATTTGTCCTGTAGCCAGCCAGCGTATTGCTTCCTGGAGAGGTGGGCAGCCCTAGCAGCTGCACGTCCTGCCCAAGCGTCCGCGGTGGCTCGGAACTCAAGGGTCTCGTCCTCGTCTAGTTGCTGGAAGTCGGCGACGCGTCGTGTCCAGGTAGTGACTTCTTCATCGCTACCATTAGGTGGTAAGAGCTGACGCTGGCTGTTGACCGCGGGGTCTCTGTCCTGGAGGAGCCTGGCGACGTCGTCAATGAGGACGCGGTGCTTCTTGTGCTTGACGAGGGCGAGGCCTTTGTGCACGAGGGTGCGCGCGATGGCCCGCCACTCAGCAGCCTCGTCCTTGATGTGGGTGCGGCCAGGCGTGGGCACTGCGCGTCACCACTCAAAAGCGACTGGCTCGCTCCTGCCGGTGTAGAGGTGGCGTTCTTGATCTGAGATACCTCGGTGGACGAGGAGGGCGCTCTCGTAGCAGTTGGCCCAAGCGCCGTAGGCATTCTTGACTGCTTGAGCCTGCGACGGCCTGTCCAGGTGAAGGGCATGTGGCGGCAAACTCCAAGTCGTCGTCCTCTTGGGTGCGCTGGCGGTCTGCGATGATGCATGGGCACTGCGGCGGCGGGGCTCTTCCTCCAGTGATCCCCCGCGGCAGCCCGCAGGGCAGGGCCCCTTCCCCTGCAGGAGGGGGCCGTGCGGGGGCGCACAGGGCCTCACCTTCTCAGGTCGGAGCGCGGCGGCCCAGGCCTGGGATGCAGTTGCAGAAGGGCTCGCGGCAGCTGTCGTTGTCGCGGCAGTGCTCCATTGAGTCTGCCAGAGGTCCAATGGGGCGAGATAAGGTACGCTTGGATCTGGAAGTCCTTGGGTAGCTGTGTCGACTTGGGGTTCCGGGGCCTCGTTGATCTCGTCGAATCTATATCTCTAAGTTTCTCTTGTAGCGCTTGGCGCCGTCGCTGAAGTCGTAATTGTCGTCGTTGGCTGGATTTGCCATTGGGGTCGGGCTGATTGGTGGGGCGAGGCGGTCGCGGCATTGGGCAGGGTAGCCGAAGTGCTATGTACCACCATGGATTCGCATCGCCTGTCTCAATCTCTAGCCCGCAGTGCGTGCCCCAAGGTGCGTCGTGCACTGGCCGCACCATGCTGAAGAACTCAAAACCGCTCTTGGTGACCACGTAGTCGACGAGGGAGCCCTTGCCCTTGTCGCAGGTCGCCGTGACTGGCGGGGTGGCGATAGTGCCTCCCCACCCCTCCAGGTGGCCCGAGGCGGTTAGGCGGGCTGGGCTCATGTTCCAGTCACCCACGACAATCCAGGGGTCCGCAAGCATGGCCAGGAACGCGGTGAGGGCCACGAGGCGTTCCAGGGCCGGGGGCCGGCGATCCTGCCATAGGGGCTCCACGCAGAAGGCCAGGACCACGATGTTGCCCGTCTTGCGGTGCCAAGTCATAGGTGCGAAGCCGCAGCAGGGGTCCTGTTCGTAGATCAGTTGAGCTTGGTGCCTCAGGCCGTCGAAGGTGGGGCAGTGGACGTGCTTGCGGGCGAGGATGAGCTCTCCTCCTGTGGTGCCCGGAGTCGAGCGCATGGTGGTAAGAGCGTCGCATTTGGAGACTCGCCAGTCGTCCTTGCTCCAGGTGAGGGCCGCGTCGTGGGCCTTGCAGGCGCCCGCGTGCGCCTCGACAAGGGCCAGCATCTGGTAGCGTTTGCCCTTGGAGGTGACCCACCTGGCTGCCTGCGGCCCCCACTCGGTGATGTTCGAGTAAAAAAAGGCCCGAGGCCTGCTGTGATGGTCCAGCGCCAGTTCGAGGGGGAACTGAGATCACGTCCGTAGGCTCCTTAGCCGTGTTGCCCGAGTGGTGCCCCTCCTGTGGGTGGCCGGTGTGCGAACAACCATCCCTGTCTCCTGGCGGGTTCCCATTGTTGAGTGGTTGGGCTGCTGGCTCGGCGAGAGCTGGGCCCCCAGATACTGGTCCTGAGCGTGCTAGCATGGGGCCGCCGTGTCGGATGCCTCATCGCAGACTCTGCCAGAACTCGCTTCGGCCACGCCACCTGCACCTGGCGCGCTTCCACCACCCTCGTTTGCAGGCCACGCCTCGCTCGAAGCCAACCTGTCAGCGCGAGTGACGGCGTTGGCCGTCGCATCGCCCCCCTACCGAGGACAGCGTTTCGGGCGGAGTGGCATCAGGGTGGGCCTGCCTCCAGGGCCCCCCTGGTTCCAACAATGCGGGTACGTCGAGTGCTCGGCGGGCCATCTCATCGCCCTCTACCGAGGACAGCGTCTCGGGCGGAGCGGCATTAGGGTGGGCCTGCATCCAGGGCCCCCTGGTTCCAACAATGCGGGTGCGTCGAGGGCCCGGCGAGCCGTCTCATCACCCCCTGCCGGGACAGCGTCTCAGGCGGAGCGGCATTGAAATAGCCAGCTGTTCGGAAGCCGTGCTTCCGAAAGTACTGGTCCTCCAGATCGTCGCAGCGCGCGTCCAGGTCGTCGAACGGGTCCAGCACGGCGCCCATGCTGTGGGTGATGGCCGAGTGGCGCCCGTGGCCGCCGTGGGAGTCCGACGGCGGCCGTTCCCCCTGACTCGGCGCCAGCGTGGGCGTGTAGGTGGCGATGCTAGAGCTCCCCCGCGCCCCCGTCACCTCCCGTGGACGGGTTGCGCAGGGCGGAGAGGAGCTCCTGAGCCTTGCCCTCGATGTCGGGGTCTCTGTGGCGAGAAGGAACAGGTACATCAGCAGCGCAGCCAGGAGTCGCGGCGGCCGCGGCGGCTGCTTCGGGGGCCTGCGGGGCAGCAGTGGCAGAGGCCGCAGCGCCACTAGAGGCAGATCCAGGGGAGGCTGCCGCGGTGGCGGGTGCCCGGCCTGGCTTGTCTGCTGCCTCTGCTGCTTCGGTGGCGGCCCTGGCGCGGCCCTCTGCATCGACCCGCTGGCGCTTGGCGGCGAAGCGGGCGCGCAGGGCGTCGGCCTCGCTGCGCATCTGGGAGATGGTAGTGGCGGTGTCGCCGAAGAGCTCCGTGACCTTGGCCTCGAGCTCCGTCGCGAACCGCTTCTTCAGCTGGTCCCAGGCTTCGCGGTCCTTGTCGTCGACCTCCAGTCCTTGCAGGTCGAAGGCCTTGCCCGCTTCAATGCGGATGTTCTCGTTCTCGAGGAGGCTGGCGAGGTTGAAGATGGAGATGTCAGCTGACGACGCTGGGGCCTTCGAGTGACCCGCTTGGCGTGCCATCTGGAGAGCGTCGAGCGCCTCCTGGGCCTGGGCCTGGGCCTCCGCCAGCTCGTAGGCCGCGTCCGCCGACGCTTGCTTCCTCTCATTGACCAGATCTCCGCCTTGCGCTCACTTTCGAGAAGGCGCTCCAGGTTGTTGCGAGCCCTTGCCTCCGCAGCCTGCAGGCGGTTGTACTTCTGATTGGGGTCTTCGGGCTTCTGCGGCGGCTGGGGGGGGGGCGGCATCTGCTGCTCGATGCCCTCGATGGCTGCCTTGTCGATGTGCGGGGCCAGCTGCTGGAGCTCAAGCAACGCCTGATCCGCCGTCCTGGTCGCTGTTTCGTCTGTCCGCCAGCCCTCTTGTTTGCCCTTGCCCTTGCCCGTGTTGTTGCGGGAGCGCCTCGGCTTGGGCCAGGATGACCAGGGTTCCCAGTCGTCTGCTGGCGGGGCCGCAGGGGCTTCGGCGGCAGCGGCGGCTGCCAAGCGGGCCGCCCAAGCCCCGAGCAGAGGTGGTGGGCGGCCCGACCAAGGCGAAAGGGCTTTGCCACACCAGTAGCAGGACTCCTTGCCTTTTCCAGCTCCACCTGTAGGAGCAGGCGCAGCACTTGACGTATCCATCTTGGCGCGCTGGTGCCATGGGGTGTCGGGCCACGTAGCAAATCTGTCCCTCTGCCTGGTGCGTGGCAGGCGGGGTCGTTCCAGAAGGACTTCACTAATGGGATTGGATGCTGCAGTGCGTGGGGCGGACCACACACTGCTCGGCCTGGGGCGGGCCAGGCGCAATACGAAACCTGGCCGCGGTCTAGCGGTATCCACTTTGTTCCCGGGGGAAACCAAATCCTTGAGCCAAAATGGCTACGGATGGGGGAGGAGGAGGAGGAGGAGGAGGAGGAGGAAGAGGAGGAGGAGGAGGGGGAGGAGGAGGAGGAGGAAGAGGAAGAGGGGGAGGAGGAGGAGGAGGAGGAGGAGGAGGAGGAGGAGGAGGAGGATGAGGAGGAGGAGGAAACAGAAACGGAGGAGCAGGGGGAGGAGGGAGGCGGAAAGGGGCGAGGGGCAGGAACGGAGCAGGGGGAGGAGGGAGGCGGAAAGGAGGGATGGAGGGAGGATGGATGGAGGCTTGGGCGTGGAGGCGCCCAGGAGGAAGGAATAATGGAGGGAGGGAGGACGCTCGGGAAGAATGGAGGGGGGGAAGGGAGGGAGGGAGGAAGAATGGAGGGAAGGCGGGAGGAAGGACGCTCGGGAAGGAGGGGAGCACCCAGCTCCGCAGGAGCGCGGTGCGGACGCTCGCGTCCGCCAGCCGCTGGGAGCTCTCCGTCGCGGCGCCACGGCGACTTCGCGACGCCGACGACGCCGACGACACCGCCGACGACACCGACGACGATGCCGACGACGCCGACGGCAACAACGTCCGACGAGGTTCGACGACACCCTGCGGCATCTCCGCCGCCCCTGGGCGGCCCTCTCTGCGGCCTCGGGCGGCTGTCGGCGGCCTCCAGCGGCGTTCGGGGGCGACGGGGGCGGCGGCGCAAGCCACCCCGTGAAGAGGTGCCGCGTGTGGACTGGGGGAGCGAGCGGGTCTCGCCCGCAGCCGCGGTGGTTGCCCAGCCGGAATCTCTGGGGCTCGCTCTGCTTATCCGGCTTGGTTCCCCGCCTCCCTCCTCCTCCTCCTGGTCCTCCTCATCATCGTCAATTCCCGAGAGGAGTGAGAGGAGGATGAGGAGGAGGTGGAGGAGGAGGAGGAGGAGCGAGGAGCGAGGAGCGAGGAGCGAGGAGGGGAGCTAGGAGGAGGAGGAGGAGGAGGAGGAGGAGGTGGAGCGAGGAGGAGGAGGAGGAGGAGGAGGTGGAGGAGGAGGATGGCGCTGGAAAACGACAACACACACAAACACACACACACACACACTGGGAAAAAACAGCCGAATTGAAGTGCGGGCAGAAGAAACTTTAGGACAACCATTGGACAATTCAAACAGCAAGACAAGCCAAAGCCGTCGTCATGCACGATCTCGCCTTCCAGTCGTGCGAAGGAGGGCCAGGCGCTTGACAATCCCAAAGCGAAGGTACTTCATTGATGTATCACGCGGTATATTTCGTCTTACCCTCTTCTGTCTCCGTCGTAAGGTGTTCCGTTGCGTCCCACCGTTGCCTCATCGCTTTTTGGATCCAGTTAAAAATGTCACAAGATATGCGGACACAGGGTACAGTGGATCATCCTTCTGGTTGCGCAGACAGTTGGCCAGCAGATCGCGAGAGCTGGTTCATGTGCCAGCCCAAGCGGTCATATATCGAAAGGACGTTGCCCTACGCAGATGCGAGTGTCGCCACACCACCACAGCGTTAGCAGCACCATGCACCCCCATGGCGCTTGCACAACAAGTGCTCAAGCTGGTTACTAGCACTGCTCTGTCGCGTATGCCATGGCCAATCACAACAAGAAGTCGTGCCAACCCCTAACGGTCGGCATGAGCAGGGAGGCTTCGTGAATGCCGATGCCAGCAACGCACACGAAATGGTTGTATGCAGATTCGTAAGCGCCCCCATACAAAGTCTCGCAATCAATTGAACGCCAAAACGCGTGGTGCCTCAGGCAATATCCGTTTGAGAGCCGCATGGCCACCGCAATGTAGCTGGCGTGGCATTAGGGCGCTCCAACGACACGTTGCCAAGGAGGGGAGCACTTGCCCGTTCGCGCCGACATCACGGGATTTGTCAGGTGGTTTGCTCGTTCTTCCTCTTTTCTTCCCGCATGTCCTCCCCCTACACACTCATATCCACGCAGACTCAGCCCAGTCACACTCAGACATTCGCACACCGGCCACCCACACACTGCCCATTCACAGTCAGGCTCACTCACACTCAGCCATCTGTGCCTTTGTATCAGTATCCGGACCACACGCGCCCAGATCGACTGACAGCCTTACTTCTTCGCGTTCAGTCTCAATAACAGTGAAAGTGAGCAATGCTCAGACTCACTCGCACCCAGCCCGATTTATACTCAGATTTTTTACATTCAAATTCATCGCACTCGGACCACGCGCATTCAGAGACACTCAACGCATCGCACTTGGGCACCCCAACGGACAGCTGCCAGGTGGTGTTACACCTGTCCGTTCGTGGTCAGATTGTGGGGAGGTCTCAATGGAAGCGTTGTTTTTGGTGCACCCCGATTCCCTGATTGCCAGATCCCCGTGACTACTGTGATGCAGCAGGCGTAGCACGCGGGCGCTCACTCAGGCATTCAGAGCGGGACGTGCCAAGACATCGGATGCAAACGTGTGTCAAACCTCCTTGGTTGGGTATTCGTTTTGAATAGAGCAGTGTGGTCGCGTCCTTCCTCCTCCCGCCTCCCGCCTCTTTCCTGCCTCTTTCTGTCTTGCCTGCGGGGGGCTGCGATCTGTGAAACTGTCGCCACTTTCGAGGCCTGCTGGGGGGTCCTGCATAGAGGGTAATCGCGGCTAATCGCGGCGGATTCAAATTAGACCTCGCCATCCCTGGGGGGCTGCGATCTGTGAAACTGTCGCCACTTTCGAGGCCTGCTGGGGGGTCCTGCATAGAGGGTAATCGCGGCGGATTCAAATTAGACCTCGCCATCCCTGGGGGGCTGCGATCTGTGAAACTGTCGCCACTTTCGAGGCCTGCTGGGGGGTCCTGCATAGAGGGTAATCGCGGCGGATTCAAATTAGACCTCGCCATCCCTGGGGGGCTGCGATCTGTGAAACTGTCGCCACTTTCGAGGCCTGCTGGGGGGTCCTGCATAGAGGGTAATCGCGGCGGATTCAAATTAGACCTCGCCATCCCTGGGGGGCTGCGATCTGTGAAACTGTCGCCACTTTCGAGGCCTGCTGGGGGGTCCTGCATAGAGGGGCGGCGGATTCAAATTAGACCTCGCCATCCCTGGGGGGCTGCGATCTGTGAAACTGTCGCCACTTTCGAGGCCTGCTGGGGGGTCCTGCGGCGGCGGATTCAAATTAGACCTCGCCATCCCTGGGGGGCTGCGATCTGTGAAACTGTCGCCACTTTCGAGGCCTGCTGGGGGGTCCAGCATAGAGGGTAATCGCGGCGGATTCAAATTAGACCTCGCCATCCCTGGGGGGCTGCGATCTGTGAAACTGTCGCCACTTTCGAGGCCTGCTGGGGGGTCCTGCATAGAGGGTAATCGCGGCGGATTCAAATTAGACCTCGCCATCCCTGGGGGGCTGCGATCTGTGAAACTGTCGCCACTTTCGAGGCCTGCTGGGGGGTCCAGCATAGAGGGTAATCGCGGCAGATTCAAATTAGACCTCGCCATCCCTGGGGGGGGGGGCTGCGATCTGTGAAACTGTCGCCACTTTCGAGGCCTGCTGGGGGGTCCAGCATAGAGGGTAATCGCGGCAGATCCAAATTAGACCTCGCCCTCCTTGGGGGGCTGCGATCTGTGAAACTATCGCCACGTTCTAGGCCTGCTGGGGGGTTCAGCACAGTGGGTAATCGCCGCATATTCAAATTAGACCTCGCCATCCCTGGGGGGCTGCGATCTGTGAAACTGTCGCCACTTTCGAGGCCTGCTGGGGGGCCCAGCACAGTGAGGGCCACGGGCGGATTCAAATTAGACCTCGCCATCCCTGGGGGGCTGCGATCTGTGAAACTGTCGCCATTTTCGAGGCCTGCTGGGGGGCCCAGCACAGTGAGGGCCACGCGCGGATTCAAATTAGACCTCGCCATCCCTGGGGGGCTGCGATCTGCGAAACTGTCGCCATTTTCGAGGCCTGCTGGGGGGCCCAGCACAGTGAGGGCCACGCGCGGATTCAAATTAGACCTCGCCATCCCTGGGGGGCTGCGATCTGCGAAACTGTCGCCATTTTCGAGGCTGCTGGGGGCCCAGCACAGTGAGGGCCACGCGCGGATTCAAATAGACCTCGCCATCCCTGGGGGGCTGCGATCTGCGAAACTGTCGCCATTTTCGAGGCCTGCTGGGGGGCCCAGCACAGTGAGGGCCACGCGCGGATTCAAATTAGACCTCGCCATCCCTGGGGGGCTGCGATCTGCGAAACTGTCGCCATTTTCGAGGCCTGCTGGGGGGCCCAGCACAGTGAGGGCCACGCGCGGATTCAAATTAGACCTCGCCATCCCTGGGGGGCTGCGATCTGCGAAACTGTCGCCATTTTCGAGGCCTGCTGGGGGGCCCAGCACAGTGAGGGCCACGCGCAGATTCAAATTAGACCTCGCCATCCCTGGGGGGCTGCGATCTGCGAAACTGTCGCCATTTTCGAGGCCTGCTGGGGGGCCCAGCACAGTGAGGGCCACGCGCGGATTCAAATTAGACCTCGCCATCCCTGGGGGGCTGCGATCTGCGAAACTGCCGCCATTTTCGAGGCCTGCTGGGGGGCCCAGCACAGTGAGGGCCACGGGCAGATTCAAATGAGACCTCGCCATCCCTGCGGGGCTGCGATCTGTGAACCTGTCGCCACTTTCGAGGCCTGCTGTGATCCCCGTTTTCGAAGTGGCTAGGAGTGCTCAGGAATTGTAAATCATCAGCTTTATCAAGCCCTTTTCCTGTAGCCAGTGTCCTGCGAGTCTCCCGAATTCCGTCTGCAGACATGTGTAACCCTCGCTCCGTCATCGCCCCCAGTATCCTAAACTATTTGCGCCCCGCTTTTGCGCAGGGGTTGGGTACGTCGCCAGGGTATTTTTTTTGCGTCGGGTAATTCAAGCTTGCCTCTGGGAAGTGATCGTGGCCTGGAGACTGAATCTTTGAACAGCTTGGATAAAACGTGTTCAACCTCTCCACGACATCCTTGGGGCTCGCAATCGGGCGGCGCCCAAATTCGCTTCCCCGTCAAAAATATCGACGAGGTGGCGCACTTGTTTCTCAGCCGTCCGATTCCATGAGCCCCAGAACGCCCTTGCGTGTAAAAACCGCTCCCATCACGTTTCTATCCATCTATCCTGCTATCCTCTTGGCTCAATGTACTGGAGAGTCCTATTAGGCAGGACTCGCGCCGTTCGCCCGCGGCGCATGGGAAAAAAGGGTTTTCTCCTCTCTTCCCAAGTGTCCTCTACCAACGGACACCGCGGTAAGTTCGACTCTGTGGTCGTCAACTTCCGTACATACGTTATCAGCCCATTCTATTACGCTCTCCGTTGTGACACCCCGCGCCGTCTGTGAACCTGTCGCATGGCGCTGGACCCCACGGGGACCAGTGCCTCTATGCGTGCTGGCTCTTCGACGGCGCGCGGGCGTCACGACGCCACGGAGAGGGCAATGGGACAGAGCTTGATGCCGCAATTCCCCGCCCCCGGGGAAGGCAGCGCCAACGTTCGACTTGAAGCGGAACTTGAAGCA